TCTGACGTCTTGCTTTTTCCCTAGCACCTTCTTTACTTTCATTTTAAGTATCTTGGTGTGATGACAGCAAGACAGGTGAGTGAACTCGACTAATACTTAATATATTTAATATACTGACAGACAGCAATATGCTCTGACATACTGTCAGTTATAGATAATTAACTGTGACTTCAGGAAAATGCGCTACATGTGTTCAGCAAAAATATGCAGGTATCAAACAGTCTGCAAAAATAGGAGATTATTTTCCGTACTTTTATCTGAAATCATATTTAACACCATCAGGTTTTAAAAGAGAACAGATAAAAACAAGAAGTAAAAAGAAAACTTTAAAGATGAGTAACGTCAGGAAAGACTGTAGTGAACCAACACTTTGTTAATACATTTATGAATTTTAATATTTTGACATATTAATATCATAAGCACTCATTAAAGAAAGGGGGCACCACCTAGCGTCGTTGTCCACCCAAGGGGCTAGGAATCCTAGGGTATAGTTTAATAAATACAACAATAAGTTAATAATAATTAGTCAGTTCTTAATTGATCAGTCTCAATCTGAGGAGGGAATTCTCCATGCAGGAACCTGGATCATAAACAGTACACACACACAATTCCTGTGATTAAGGTGAATGTTTATTTATTAACTAAGGTGAACAAAAGTGAAGGGTAGAGGGAGAGTAGCTGTAGGGTTAGCCGGTCAACATGAATAAATTCAGTGAGGTTCAGGTACTAACATTTCTGATGGTTATGGTAAGGGTAGGGGGCTTCGGGGGACTGTCAACACCTTTCACATGAACGTGGCTAGCTAGCTATCTATCTGACAACGGGCTGTAAAGAGACATCCTGCACACCGACATCAGGCTGCACCACTTTAAAGTCACAACATTGTTATGTGAATCTTCCTTGTCGTCATCTGTCAAGTTTTCATGGAAATTTGTTTTGGAGTTCTTCAGAAGTTGTAATGAAAGATGTTATCACTTATCATTTTAAATATGAGGAGGAACCTGAGGTACCTGACATGTTGTTATTCAGGCCACACCACTTCAGATATTTCAGAATTAAATAAGAAAACATACTTTGTGAATAAGAGTTGAACTCCACATCAAAGAAATAAATATTTTTAAAAATAGTTTGAGGTCTTCAAGCTATTTAAAATATATGTTAAAATATACGAGTTCAAAAATCACATAAAAAATTTAGCTATTTGGATTATTTACCCGTTGAGAGTCATTCACATGTAAAAACACGTCTTTTGTCCCCTATGAAATATTTAGAAACATCTGATCACGTGATCCTGTTCTGACGTCTTGGTGTTTCTCTTGAACCTCCTTTAGTTTCGCTTTAAGCATCTTGGTGAGATGACAACAAGCTTTTCAGCAGGTGAGTGTACTCCACTAATACTTCATATATAAAGTGACAGACTTCAGGAAAATGTGCTACAGGTGTTCAGTCCGCAAAAAAAAAGGTTGTTTCTCCGTGTTTTCAGTACTTTCTGTGAGTCTGACAAATGTCTTTCCTGTTTTATCTTAGATCATTAACTTTTAAATAATAACCATAATCTTTGTAGAGCACTTGTCAAAATCCACTTTACAAAGTGCTTCACTATGGCAGCAAACTACTGTATAACAGAAACGTCATAAAACCATCAGGTTTAAAAAGTTTAAAGAAACTTAAAACACAAGTAAAATCAGGAAAGACTTAGTGAACCTACACTTTGTTAATACATTTATGAATATTAATATTTGGACAAATTATAATAAGCACTTATTAAAGAAAGGGCGCACCACCTAGCATCGTTGTCCACCCACGGGGCTATGAATCCTTGGGTATAGTTTAATAAATACAACGTTAAGTTATTAATTAAAGCTGTAAGCATGTTAATCATCACTTCCTGTGTCCCCTTTGTGGCGCTACTTAGCACTTGGTGCTATGACTATAACTGAATATTGGCATGTAGATGTGTTCAGGGCGTGACTGTTCAAGCACGTAAAGTTTGGTGCAGTGAGCATGCACACTGAGGTTACAGCAACTTCCTTTTTTATGACGAATCATTGATATTGGACGCTGAGCCACGGGCATGCCGTTCCACGAAAACTCACCGTTTGTACAACTTTTAAACGTAAATGGGTTTAGACTGCACAGCGAAAATCTGAAGTCGGTCGGACAAAATCCCTAGGAGGAGTTTGTTAAAGTACGGAGTGTGTAAATCATCCAAAATTGACCATAAAATTCAAAACGGCCGACTTCCTGTTGGGTTTAGGGCATCGCTCCATGAGGCTTTTTTGTACGTCTCAACATGATACATGTGCCACAGAAATTTTATACATGTAGGTGAAACGTGCGGCAGGGGCTGCTTAGGTCACTTCCTGTTGCCAGCAGATGGCGCTATAACTATTGGTGAATTGGCATGTACATGTGTTCAGGGCAGGACTCTTATTAAACGTGTAAAATGTGGTACAGATCTAATCATGTACAATCAAAAATAATCCAATATGGCCGACTTCCTGTTGGGTGTCGGGCATCGCTCCAAAGAGGCTTTTTGTTTGGGGGCTGCTCTGTAGGGGGCACTAGTGAGCCATTTTGTCACGCCCATGCGCGAAACCCATAAAATATGTAATTTCTCAAGAGGCTAGGCAGCCAGGCGGGAGTTGATGTTTAGAACAGCTGATTTGCTCCATGGTCCTCATCTTTCCTGTAGCGGCAGTCTTCCAGTAGACGTCGGTAACTCTCATCTGTGGCTCAGGGTGCCAATGACGAGTGTCATTCATGTTAGTGGTCGGCTGTTCATTTGAAATACTTTACAGACAAACAAATAAAAAAAGTTAAAATCACTAAAGGTTCACAAGACCTCGGTGCTGAGGTAAATCTAAGAAGATAGCTAGTCAGGGGAAATTTCATCCCAGGTCAGGGCCTTAGAAAATAGTTGAATCAAATCTCCTGCTTATGGAGTAAACAAGAAGAATGGTCCTTTTTTAAGTTATACAGGTTCATCGGCCTGTGTGGTCTGAAGCTGCTTTAGTTTCAAATATCGGAAAAAATGAATGCTGTTTTCTGACAGTGTTGGAGCCCTAGATTTAGATTGGTGCCCCCTGTGCCCAACCCTAAAATGTCTGTAACATTAGCCACTGCAGGGGTCAGGATCGTTATTCCTCAATCCAAAGGAATTGTTAAAAAAGTTCAGCAGCCAAGCTGCATGGAGCACAACGTGCTCAGTTCAAAGTGAACTGTGAACTGTGTAGTGAAGTGAACAACTGCTCATCAGTTGTCAAGCAAGATTACCCATCAGCCTGTGCGCCTCACATGAATGACAAATAAATAAAAATGAAATTGCACAGTGTATTGCACAATTTAAATTTAAATTACTGCTATACAGTGCAATAACATGTGGTTTGCAAACAAATGAGGTGCCCGCCTGCTGCCGAAGATGGATTGTCTTGAACTTTTCATCCCACGCATAAATCATCCCACCTCCTGTGACCCGGTTTGACTGTTTGTGTATTCAGAGGCAGTGAGCAATGGACTTATATACAAAATAATAATAATAAAAACTGCGTTAACGTGCGATAAATTCTTATTTCATGCGTTAACGCGATAATAACGCATTAACGTGCCCAGCCCTAAATATTACATATATACCTTTATTATATATATATAGAGAGAGAAATATAATAATATTATGTGATATATAATAAAATAAATTTCAGTAAATGTTCACAGTAGCAGCGAGTATCCACGGTGTTTACGTTACCAGGGTAATGCATGGAGAAAGTGATGCCTGCAATGGTGACGTTGCAGGGTAATCTGAATGGAAGAATTTTGTCAGGGAAGTTCCCTTAATCGACATTCCCTGAGTAAGCAGCATGGAGTACTGTTTATGTGCATGAGTGATCGGCAAATAAGTCTGGCATCAGGGCAAATATTTTTCAAGCCAATACATGGCGGGTCAGAACATAGTCAAATGGTCATTTCAATTCCTTGTATTTATGTTTGCATGGTTAGTTCAGTCAGGAGTCTGCAAGACTGCCATTGGGAGTGTTGTGCTTTATGATCCCAACCTACCTTAAATACTTGATTATGAAGAGACTGTTTCACATGCTCAAAATAAAAGCATGTTCTGGGGTGTTTGCATTCTGGCGTTTGTCATTTTTTTTCATATTTTTATTTCCCCAGCTTCTCTAGGCAGAGGTAATTCCTGCACTTCTCATTCAGGGGAATCCAATCACTCTTGATGGCACTAGAGTGCACTAGAGAGCACTACTGATGGCTTTTTCAGAGGTGTATCAACCAAACTCAATTCTCCAGGACAAACATGTGTTTGACAAGTTCATATACAGTCAAGTAAACTAATTCATCACATTTAGTATTTGGTTGCAAAATATATTCTACGAACCTTCAAAGTAGTAGTAAGGTGAGATTACTTCAAAGTAAATAGCTCACATTTTTTAAGATACTACAATATAATATAATTATTGTTTTGGCCGTTTGGTAAGGAAAGTTCCATAACAATCAATAAATGAATAAAATAATAAATAAATGTGTAAATACAGTATATGCAAGATTAAATAAATGAATAAAATAATAAATCAATGAATTAAAGAATAAATACATACACTTCACATTTATTTCTTTATTTATTTCCAGGTTCATTTTGTGTTACTTTTTATATTTATTTTCACATTGATTTGTTCATTTATTTCTTTATTTCTTTATTCCCATATATTTTTACAATTATTTTTATAATTTTATTTAAAAAAATGTAATTTATTTTATAAAAACAAAAATAAAGTAGGTTTACATAATTAAAAAAACATAAGAAACACGGCCTCAGTACTAAAACAGCAAAAAACAGCAAGAAAAAGCATGGCAGACATACCTGATAATGGTATCATTAATGACAGCATCAACATGAATGGCAATAACTACTTAAACGACAATGCCAGTAAGGAGGGCAAAGCTATTCAGAGAAAATACACCTTGCTCATTAATCTAAATGTTTCCTTTCAGAAATGGAAGATGACGTCGATGTCCTCGTTTTGGACAACGGCTCCGGCGTGTTCAAGGCCGGTTTTGCCCGAGATGACGCCCCCCGCGCCGTCTTCCCGTCCATTGTCGGACGCCCCAAACACCAGGTACAGACACCATGCATGAACGTCACCTGCGTCTCATGACTCTTAAATCGAACACAAGGATAAATGCAGTGTAACATGTGACTGTAAAGGTGTGTTTCTGTATGTGTGCAGGCTGTGATGGTGGGAATGGGACAGAAGGACAGCTACGTGGGAGACGAAGCCCAGAGCAAGAGAAGCATCCTGAAGCTGAAGTATCCCATCGAGCACGGCATCGTCACCAACTGGGACGACATGGAGAAGGTGAAGACATTATTTAACACATTACTACACGTTTACACACCAGGATCTCAAACATCTATTTTAATCAGAAAACAGACTGAAATTTTAATCTGTCAAAGTGTAGTAACAAATTGGTAATTGGTAACAAACCAAGAACTTGTCAGAAGGTTGCAGTACCATAGTGTAGGAGTACTTAGAGTTGTCATGGAGTATGACATGTGTTTTATTTCTTCCCAAATTCTGTGATTTCTATCAGAAACGTTTTACAGAGGAGACACGCCACTTACAAAATTCTCAATGCAACTCTACAGGGAAAGCCCATAAAGCCAAAGATGTCAGTTATCCCATCCCTCCTGTGAGAAAGCCAATCGTCTGCTTTTAACAGCCATGGCGGGAAACATACTTCAGCCAATCGCGTGGTTCCACTGACTTAAGAGTCTTCTACACATGCATTACTACTATCGGGCAAAATAGTAGTAAAACCAGTAAAACCGGTGTGTTTTAAACCTTCTTTTACCCTCATTCAATAGGTTATTACCATTGTTGTTTACTTATCATTTCTTTCCATGGATCTTCTGCAGGACAGCCTCCATATGCTGCTGTCATGGGCAACACTCCTTGTTTACAAAGTTTGACCGGAAGTATCTTTTTCAGAACCCAAAGAGAGTATCTGACCCCGCCCATACAGCAAATTCTACAACGAGCTCCTGTCATGCAGCTGGAGATGTGGTTGCACTTTTGAGAGTTTGTTAAAATGATGAGCTCTTGCGATGACAGTGTGTGTGTGTGTGTGTGTGTGTGTGAAATACCTCAGAGAGCAGAGGACAGAAGCTGTGTAAATGACACCAAATCAGTTTTTCTGTATTCATTTGGCTGAACTGCTGTGAAAAAAATGCTTATAAGGTTAGGGAAAGTCCTGATGTTTATAAATTGTATAGACATTTGGCAGATTCCAAATGCATTCCTTGTTTTCCTATTGATTACAGTTTTATTACCAAATCCCATGATTCCTGTGTTTTCCGCATCGCAGAAATCATAGGGCCCTGTATTTAAAGGTTTAGTGTGTAAAACTTAGCATCTAGTGTTGAGGTTGCGAATTGCAACCAACTGTCTAGTCCAGTTTACCCCCTGCCCTCTCCACTTTTCAAAGAGTGTAGGATAGCTACAGTGGCTGACACAGGAACAGTAGCCAGTCAAGAAATTAGGTTTCTTGAGGTAGATATATTAAGATATTATATTTAATTAATTATTTAATAGAAACCATATGTTATTGCGACTTGGCCACAGACAAATAACATGGAAAATGTCCCCCAGTAATAATATCTGGCCCGCGGTCAGAATATGGTGCTTAAATAATGCCTACAAAATAAAAGCGCAAGAAGCTTGTTTACTGCAATGATGCTTGGAGTTGAACTGAGCTTTTACTTTGGAAAATTTTGAACAACATTTAAAGAGTCTGTAGGCTTCTTGACACAGCTGAAAGAGCCATCAGAAAATGTGATTCCTCTAAATGTCCTCTGCCTGGAGATACTGGGGAAATGAAACAGCGTCCATAGGTTGATGGATGTGGATCAAACACGGGAACACACACACTGCAGGATATGCTGTAATGTGAGCATGTGAAACAGTCGCTTCATGATCAGTTTGTTGAAGAGGAAAAAAAAATTCAACCAACTTGGGATCAAACTTGCAACCTTCTAGATTAGAATCTTTTGTTTTACTGACTGAGCTAACCAAACACTGTAATGTGTAGTGTAAGTTTTATGTTTTATATTCTCACCCACCATCTAATGGTTGAAAAATTGCTCTAATTCAAAACTTATTTACCAAACCCTGTTCTATGTTAGTACTTCTTCTTCAAACGTATATATTCCACAGGGTGATGAACATCTACACTGCGGGAATTCTAAAAGAAGAAGAAGAACGTACTGACAAAACGTGCTCTTTAGAGCAGTTTGTCCATTTGGGCTACTGTAGAATCATGGCGGCGCAACATGGTGACTTTCATGTAAGAGGAGCTGTAGTGTATGTAGATAGAAATGGCTCATTCTAAGGTAATAAATACATAATGGTTTATTATGTATGGTCTTTATATACCACTGAAAACATAGTTGTGTATATCATATTGCCTTTCTGTCAATAGATCCTCAGAAATATTACACACTGGACCTTTAAATGTAGTCATTAAATAGCAGAGGAATCTGCATGTCTAAGTGAATGAAAACGCTAACTAAACAGGGAAAGTTCTTGGCAATTTATTATTTAAAATAACTATAGCTGTCAAACGGTAGCTGTCTATACCTGAGAAATAATCTCCCAGTATTTTGTAGAGGTGTAAAGTGTAGCGTTTAATCGGAATACTCAAGCAAAAGTACAAGCAGGCTACCTCAACACAGTCCTTGAGCAATGTCACGTTCCACCACTGAAAATATCCAAAAACTCTACACCAACCACACATGTATTTCCTGCATATATCAACCCCGCTACATTTGACAGTAGCTTTGACAGTTTTATCATTATTAAACTTAGTCATTGAACTATCCAGCTGTCCTGTGCTGCAGATTTGGCATCACACCTTCTACAACGAGCTCCGTGTTGCTCCTGAGGAGCATCCAGTCCTGCTGACCGAGGCTCCACTCAACCCCAAGGCCAACAGGGAGAAGATGATACAGGTGTGTGTTTGGAACAGATGCTCAAAATCTACACGTTTGTTTTGACCATGATCTTACTGCAGTGAGTTCATGGTTAAGAAGAAAATCAGGCACAAACACATTCACAACCATGTAGGTGCTGCTTCAACTCCTTAGCTTCTCTAGACAGACATTTACATTTAACAGATGCTTTTATCCAAAGTGACTTATTGCTATACATGTCAGAGGTTGCACGCCTCTGGAACAACTAGGGATTAAGTGCCTTGCCCAGGGACACATTGGAAGCTGGGTCACAGGGGGGGATTTGAACCCGGGTCTCTCACAACAAAGGCAGGCATCTTATCCATTGCGCCATTCAACGCAATTTTCTTGGTCAGAATTCCCACTTGTAATACAGCTCCAAAATGAAAACGAGAGGAAAACAAGGAACAGGGTTTTTGTTGTGTCTTCAGATGTTATGGCTTCCACATTGACATGTCATCTTTCTCTTTGTTCCAGATCATGTTTGAGACCTTCAACAGTCCTGCCATGTATGTGGCCATCCAGGCCGTCCTGTCTCTGTACGCCTCCGGTCGTACCACAGGTGAGAAGTTAAGCACGACCGCAACATCTCTCTGAGTCTTAAAAACATTGAAATGGTCACAAACTGGCTTTTGACAGACTTGAAAAATGACTTTTATGTATTTCCTAAGAAGTTCTGTTTTCTTAAATGTTCAGTGTGTAATATTTCTGAGGATCTATTGACAGAAATGCAATATAAGATCCATAACTATGTAAGGTATAAAGACCTTATATAATTAACCATATGTTTTTATTACCTTCGAATGAGACATTTATATGTACATAACTGCAGGCACCCCCTTCCATGGACGTCGCCAAGTTGCATTGTCATGTTTCTATAGTAGTTGAAAACAGACAAACATCACTACATTCTTCTTGTTCTACTACTAGAATTCAGGCAGTGCAGACACTCATCACTATGTTGAATATGTATGTTATAAGAAAAAGAAGTAGTACTAATACACTGCAGGGGTCTGCAAATAAGTTTTGAATCAGAGCAATATTTTCAACCATTAGATGGTGGATGAGAATGTATGCCATAATATTACCTTGCTTTGACATGTATCTTGGTTAGCACAGGGTTCATGGCCAAAGGATAGTGGGTTTAAATCCACTTTGGGACAAGTTCGTTTATTTTTTCTCTCTGCAACAAATGGATTCTGCATACGCACTATTAGGCCAAAGCAAAGCTGTCAAAGTGAGCATGTACACTGAACTTATAACAAGTTCCTGTTTCATGGCGAGTCGTCAATTTTTAGATGCCACCACACGGACACGTCCTTCCACAAAAACTCACACATAGCACAATTTCTAATAAGGTGAAATGTCTGGCTGCACAGAAAAAGAGTGTTGTCGAAAACCTGGGTGTCCTGTTTGACTCTGAGTTGAGTCATTTAAGAAACATTGACAGAGTTTGACCCTAACTCTCCTTGGAAGACTAGCATGGTTTCTAATGTACCATTTACAGATGTACCCCAAAGAAATATTAATAGCCTGACACTGCTACAAAATGTGGCAGCAAGAGTTTTAACAAAAACTGGAATGAGAGAACACATCAATCCAGTTTTAGCTTCTCTGCACTGGCTTCCTGTAGCATGTATAATTGATTTTAAAGTTCTTTTACTTGTTTTTAAAGCTTTTCATGGTTTACACCTTCTTATCGATTCAACCTAATATCTGGTTATATTCCAAATCGCTCTCTCAGGTCCTCTGGTGCCTGTCTGCTTAATGTACCAAGAAGTATTCAGGCCGTAATTATGATAATAACTTTCTTTTTTCACATACAATCATACAGAGTACAACACATGCCAAATATGTTCTGTGCATTTAACCCATCATAATTAAGAGCAGTTAACGCTCTGTATGACTGTGCTGGACTTGAACCGGTGACCCTTAAGTTCCCAAACCATGTTCCCACTGAGCTACTGGCCTTGATGTTGAACCATGATCAGAATGACCACAGAGGGGTCGTGCTTTTTGTCTTGCAGGTATTGTGATGGACTCCGGTGACGGTGTCAGCCACGCTGTGCCCATCTACGAGGGTAACGCTCTGCCTCACGCCATCCTCCGTCTGGACCTGGCTGGAAGAGATCTGACTGACTATCTGATGAAGATCCTCACTGAGAGAGGCTACAGCTTCACCTCTGGTGGTACGAAACTGACCTTTAACAATTAGTATAGGCCCAATTATTATCTGGAACTTCTACTTTTTAAACAAGGGTGACTTTGTAAGAGATTCTGCTCCTGAATGGCTGCAGGCTTTTCAACTTCCTAAAAATGTTTCTTTAGTGTCCATTTTGTAACGCAAATATTTCAAAACTCCAGCTGAGCGTGAGATCGTGCTTGACATTAAGGAGAAGCTCTGCTACGTGGCTCTGGACTTCGAGCAGGAGATGCAGACGGCAGCTTCCTCTTCCACCCTGGAGAAGAGCTACGAGCTTCCTGACGGACAGGTCATCACCATCGGCAACGAGAGGTTCCGCTGCCCCGAGACGCTCTTCCAGCCTTCATTCATCAGTGAGTAACAAGTGTTAATGGTATCACTAAAGCAAATAATTCAAACTGACAAGCACTTTTAAAAGGACTGTACAGAGATTCTGAGCTCTTCTCAGTCGGTGTCTGCTGCCTGCAAACACTAAAGGCTTGTTTCATCTGTGTGTTCAGGAATGGAGGCAGCTGGCATCCACGAGATGACCTACAACAGCATCATGAAGTGCGACGTGGACATCCGTAAGGACCTGTACGCCAACACTGTGCTGTCCGGCGGCACCACCATGTACCCCGGCATCGCTGACCGCATGCAGAAGGAGATCACCGCTCTGGCCCCACCCACCATGAAAATAAAGGCACAGCTTTATATTTTTTTTCATGAAGGACAAATTGAATCCCATTTTTCAGGAAGAGGGTTTGATAAAACTCATATGTCTCCTGACCTGGTGCGCACGCCACTTCCCAAGCAACGGATTTAAAGCCTTTCTGAATAAACAAACACCCGTTTGATTGATTTTCACTGAAGTGCGCAAAAAAATAATTAAAGATCTTTTGCAGCCACACAAAAAGAACCAGATTAAGGATAATAAATACAAACAGAGATATCTGTTTCTGTAAAAGAACGCCTCAAATATGTTGGACAGTTTAATCAGGAATCATATTAATTAATATTTGTATGCATTGCAATTTAATTTCATAAATAAGGTGAACAGGAGAACACATTACATTTAAATTGATGCCGTCTTCAGTGCGTCAGTCGAGCAAATAGGAGAGCATAGTTTCATGTATTGTTATCACATGTTCGTTACCTTTTCGAGCCAAACGCTGTGCGCCAGCGTTTGGATGTGATGCGCTGCTTGTGAAAACACAGTATGGGAATATAACACTATTTTATTGTCATTTACAACAAGTCATAATTCTTTTAACTCATTGGCAGCCTCGTTAAGTGAGTGGACTGTTTGTGTAGCCTAAATAAATGTTTAAACAGAAGTGTGTCTTTTCAAACTGGGGAATCCATATTAGTTCCTGGGTCATCCTGTCTTGCGTGTGTGTGTGTCCCTCCAGCCAGCGATGCCACTAATCAAGAGGGATGTCCCTTCCTGCAGATCGGTTATGAAGGGGTGGAGCTCCGGTGCCCCCTTTCCTCCGGAGTTGCGTGAAAGTGCGTTTTTTACCCAGCAAACAACATGCTTCAGCTTCAACAAAACGAACGTCAATTAATATTAATGCGCTCCAAGTGGACACATTTTTCTGGGGAAACTGATCTGCAGACCTTCAGAGAAGGCAGAGACAGAGACTGAATATTCACATTAAAGCCACAGTATCAATCACTTCATCTTCATATTTTTTTAATAACTTAATTAAAAACCTAACTTGAATAGAATTCAAATGTAAAATGTAATTGGGTTTGAAATGATAACATTTCCTGACCATGTGTTTGGTAAACTGATATCAAACAATTGCTTATTTATATATATAAAGTCAAAACATGCTATGAAACAGATTCTTTGCAGTTTTAATTTTATTCACTTTTCTATCCCTGATATGCCAGCTAGAACTAAACTCTGCTGTAGCTAATGCTACAGAGTTTTCATGTTTTTTCATCCTTGTAATAAACTAAAACCTGTTTTTGAAAGAAATCCTCACACAATACACTTCAAATCCAGACTCCAACGAAGGTTGAGGTCAAGGGAAACTGGACTTGGTAGAAGTAACTAGAAGACGTTTCGTCCCTCATCCAAGGGACTTCTTCAGTTCGACCTCAACCTTCGTTGGATGACTATGACCTGGATGACTGAGAATCTTCACAGACTTAAAATCCAGAAATATTCACTTGAGGCTTTTATTGTTTATTCTGAGCATCACCAATTCCTGTCTCACTTGTTTTCTTACTTCACCTCCAGATCATCGCTCCCCCAGAGAGACCGTACTCTGTCTGGATCGGTGGCTCCATCCTGGGCTCCCTCTCCACTTTCCAGCAGAGGTGGATCAGCAAGCAGGAGTACGATGAGTCCGGCCCCTACATTGTCCATCGAAAGTGCTTCTAGAAAGCCCCACGTCATCATCGTCCTCTGCACCAGCAGGGACGTTAATATGCTTTTCAACTGTTTGTCAAACAAGAAATGAGCATCTCTGAACTTGTTCCTCTGCCCACAGCTTTCACTGCTTCTGGTGATAAACTACTGATAGTAAAGATGTCTATGAAGATTCTCAGTCATCCAGGTCATAGTTATCCAATGAAGGTTAAAGTCAAGGGCAACTGGACTTGGTTGAAGATACTGGAAGACGTTTTGTCCCTCATCCAAAGGACTTCTTCAATTCTGACTGACTGGTAGGGAACCGGAAATTGAAATCACTACATGAACTGGATGCACGTATGACACTGAGTATGAAAGCGATTGAAGGACACTGATCCGGATAAATGTTACCGAATCAACCTAAATTGGATTAAAAATTATTGTCTTATTGTCCCTTCCCTCCCACCTCCCCTCCTCCACCCGAGCGGGAAAACAACTTGCAGCTGGCCTTCCTATCTTCTCCTGCGCACTGGTTTATCTCTCCTCAAGGACAAGGCCAATGAACTGAACTATTTTTTTTAACAACATAGTCAGTCTGAAGCCTCATACTTCACAAACACAGACTCATTATCTTACTCACACCCCATCCCTCTCGAACTGACTGCCTCGAAACTGCCCTCTTTATTTCTCTTCCTCACATGTCACCTCAGAAAATCCCACCATGTGACCACATGTAATGTGTGTTGTCTTGTGTATTATTATGTATTGTTATGTCATGTTTACTATGTTGCTGTCTGCATTAATTCTTTTCTGGAAAGCGAGTGGCGGCGCTGAATATAGCTGCGGCCCGGAGGCTTGCTCCAATAGAAACAAATTTCACTGTGTACTTGTGCATGTGTGACAATAAAGCTACCCTCCTACCTACCTACCGGAGCTATTTAACCTCAGTGAGGTCGTTTGTTCGTTAGTATTCCTGGCTGTTGTAATGACAGTCGTTACAGTCGTGCCCAAGAAAAACCCATTTTGAACTTCATAAAGTCAGAACATGCTGCAGGCTGGTGACCTGAATTATATTATGTAAGTGTTCCTGTTATTTTGTCTTTCAGTCGATGTTAAAATGCTCTGCGCCTCTTGTGTGTATGTTTGCAGTGTTGTGTCCAGCAGGTGGAGCTCCAACGTCAGCTTCAGCTTCACTAACTGTTGTAGGTCTGTTAGTATTTGACTACATTGATATTGTACTGTGATCCTTACTGTGTCCACCACATACTGGTATTATAACCATGTTTACTTGCCAGTTCACTCTCTCTCTTTCTCTCCACTGTCTCACCCAGACTCTCAGCCACCCAAATATTTTCCAGTTTGTGTCAAGTCCTCAGGTCTAACCAGGGAAACTGACTTATGTCTTGTGAAAACCTTAGATTCTGATTGCAAAACACATTCAAAATATATATTTATAGCAAGTGACCATAATATAAGCAGGATAATGCCCTTCGAGGTTTCCATAATCAGGAGTTAATAACTGCGCGTTGGACAGTTCTGTCCTCCCCTTCATCCATTAATTACTTGTAATGGACACCTCATCGGGTTTTATCCCTTACATGTCTCATATGTCAGTGTTGTATTAATCACTGATCAGCCATAACATTATGACCACCTGCTGGTCACAGTGTAGGATTCCCTTATGCAGACATTGTAGGATCCAAGATAAAGCAGACTCCTTCTCCTTGTTTCAGGGTTTCCTAATCAAAACCTGGTGCTGCGTCTTCAAATGCTGTCCTTTCATCACTTCCCAGGAAACTCAACAAACGTAACCTATTGGCCTCAGGTGAAGATACCAATGATGGTCGTTCAGTCTTGGCCACAGGTAGTCCTAACGACGCAACCAGGAACACTAACGAACCAGCAGTATCGATGACCCGGGCCAACGACCCCACTGAGGTTAAATAGCTGAGTTTCCCTGCCAGTCAGTCAGAACTGAAGAAGTCCTTTGGATGAGGGACGAAACGTCTTCCAGTATCTTCAACCAAGTCCAGTTGCCCTTGACTTTTACCGTCGTTGGATAACTATGACCTGGATGACTGAGAATCTTCATAGACATATACATATATATATCCTATTATTTTTCCATGAGCTCACTCTCTTATTATAACATTGCCCAGCTTATTTGGTAGCTTTGATAAATTTGGCGTTCAGGTTTCTATGTATTCGTCATGCTGCTGCCTCTGCTATTACTATTTTAGGCTCCTTTCTCATTAATTCAATTATAGTTCCACCTTTTCCCTGAACTGATTAGATTTTATACAAATAAACTGCATACGAAGGTGAAAAAAACACCTTTTGGCCAAGTTAAGCATTGAAAGTCTTTCTCAAAACTTGTCATGTATAAATGATTTAGGTTGATTCAAAGAATCTAAACATCACTTTGAATAAATACAACCCTGAGCTGACGGCAAACTGACAAACTACTGGTATGAAGACCAACAGTGTACCTGAACCACACCTTACCTGTTAACAGTGAAAACAAAAGTGTGCTTTAATTACAAATACTTTACAATAATTCACTTTCAGTCAAATTATATAATATGAGTTTAAACAAAAGGGGCTCAAAAACATATCTTGATCACACTCTGTTAAACTCATCCTGTCTCTGCTTCATCACACGAGGGCAACAGCACATTCAGCTTAAATATGCAATCACGCAAACCGTATTTGCATATAACAGAAGCACACACACCAATACAGTATGCGTGTTAACCATGAACAACAAACACACAAATGCATATGAGTGACTGTATGACAGAAAACGGTGTGGTGAGGGCGTGGTCTTGAAAAAAAAACATTCTCAGTAGGTCATCTTTTATGTTCTTAGGTTTAACCCAGCAGCTGTTTTCCAGTTAAATTAGTTGCTTTTCCCCGGCTGCACCATGTTGGAACGACACTATTGCCTGATCTCTCGGCAGAATGTCTGGAAACAAATGTAAGTCATTAGTGAGGTAGCAGGAGGTCAGAACTGCTGCTGCATTTAGTCTCAAACACTGTGAATGTGATGTGACAGGAGAAAGATCCAGAAACCATGATGATAGGTCCTTTCAAGCAACAGCAAAGATTAACAATGATCATGAGACCTCATCAACACTTACACAAAGACAAACAGGATGTTTACTATCAGCTAAATCAACAAGTATGAGCTGTAAAAAGCTTGTGTTCTTGTTATTTTGTCCACCCCCTTTATGATCACGTGTCACCTTTCAGTTGATGGCTGGTTCCTGTTAAAATTATTTACACCGCTCTTGTATGATTGCTTCGTTGTGTTAATGCTTGTATCATTTGAAATATGTCATCGGTAGACCAACAGGAATTGTGTATTGTGTTTTCAGTGATAGAGAGTTTAAATTGTATTTCTGTAATAAAGAGACATCCTGCACTCATCACAGCAAAGTGACAAGACTTTTAAATCTTCCTCTGCTCAGTCTGTCAAGGTTTCATTAGAAATGTGTTTGAATTCTTCAGAAGATCTGATGAAATATGTTATCATGTCATCATTTTAAATATGAGGAAGAACCTGACATGTTGTTATTCAGGCCACACCACTTCAGATATTTAAGGATTAAATACAAAGAAAACAAAAGGAGTTGAAGTCCACATCAAAGAAATAAGTATGTTGGAAAATAGTTTGGGGTCTAAATTCATTTCACATTATTATGGTATTACCTATATGTTGCGTTCAAAAATCACATTTTAAAATTTAAGAAACTTTCTGAAATATTTAGAAACAGCTGATCATGTGATCCTGTTCTGACGTCTTGCTTGTTTTGTTTTTTTTCTTGAACCTTCTTTACTTTCACTTTAAGCATTGGTGTGAAGACTGCAATACTTTCAGCAGGTGAGTGAACTCAACTAAAACTTCATATATTTAATATATATATGTAGACTGACAGAAAGAAATATGCTCTGAACTGTGACTTCAGGAATGTGCTACATGTGTTGAACTGAATATTTTCTTTACTGTTAACTGACACGATAAGTCCAGGTGATAATCTTTATAGAGTACTTCATAGAGTACAAAATCCCCCATATAAAATGTTTCACTGAGACAGCAAACTAATGCAGCAACATCATAAAACGATCAGGTTTAAAAAGAGAACAGATAAAAACAAGAAGTTCAATGAAAACTTTAAACTTGAGTGACATTGACTCAGCGGTCATGATTTACTCTGGAAATGCTGTGTGCCTTTTAGTTTTCAGCCTCTAGTACAGACAACAGACTTTTGCCCAAGGAGCTCAGCGTGTGCGGTACTAAGAGGTCAGTTACATAGCAGGAAGAGAGAACAAGAAAAGCCTTAACAGTATCAGTGAAATCTTAATATCTGTCCTAAAACATAACTTTTACAAGAACATTTTTTGTCTTTGTATGTTTTACTTTAATTTCAGTTTATAGCCTACATGTTTTATATACACCTATCAGCCATTACATTATGACCACTGACCAGATCCGGCGTCAGACTGAGCTCAGCAGGGGGGCATTTATTTTCAGTGGGTATATCGTATAGGCTTAGATATTATTGCTACTGTCTTTCTGGAAGTGATTAGCCTGAAGTGATGCAAACCGACTCCTCCTAAACCGACTCTGCGCACCTCTTTAGGCTATTATAAACAAATTTAACAGCACATGTAGTTTAACTGCTATCTCACTAACATGAGAGACACAAGCGTTTACTAGGCCTACTTAGTATAATAAAATATTAACGACTCTAAACGGTCATAAACTATATATAGCCTACTTACAATCATCATGACCATTGATTTACCCCACAAACAATACTATAGCCTTTGAAAGCATTTTTTGAAGGTGCATGTGCTTGCTTTGTTGTGATGTGCACTGCCGCCAGGAATCTCCTGCTAACTCAAACTCATTTCATGCACGTACCGAAGTGCAAGTTCGTTGGGAGGGTGAAAGTAGGGGGGTTTCCTCACAGAGCCACACTAAATTTTATGTTAACTTTAATATGTTTTTTACTAATTAACTGTAA